TGTTATTATTGTCTTCAGTTTTGTTTCTAATCAATGTGTTGGTATTTGCAGGCGACTGAGCTTCAGCGATGGAAGTTAGAAGAAGAGAGGAAGCTGGAAGAGGCAAGACTTGCAGAGGAAGCAGCATTAGCCATTGCAGAGAAAGAGAAAGCAAAGTCCAAAGCAGCTATGGAGGCAGCTGAGGCAGCTCAGAGGATAGCTGAACTCGAGGCTAAGAAGAGAGTTAACGCGGAAATGAAAGCTCTCAAGGAGTCTGAAGAGAAAACAAAGGCCCTTACCGCTTTAGCAAACTCAGACGTAAGGTATAGGAAGTACTCCATTGAAGAGATTGAGAGTGCAACCGAGTTTTTCGCTGAGAAATACAAGATTGGAGAAGGTGGTTATGGACCTGTATACAAATGCTATCTTGATCACACACCAGTTGCTGTTAAAGTTCTTCGTCCGGATGCAGCCCAAGGAAGATCTCAGTTTCAACAAGAAGTGGAGGTATTGAGCTGCATTAGACATCCTAACATGGTTCTACTTCTTGGGGCTTGTCCAGAATGTGGATGTTTAGTCTACGAGTTCATGGCAAACGGAAGCTTAGAAGATCGTCTCTTCAGATTAGGAAACAGCCCGCCTCTGTCTTGGCAGATGAGGTTCAGAATCGCTGCAGAGATAGGCACTGGACTGTTGTTCTTGCACCAAGCTAAACCTGAGCCTCTGGTTCACCGTGATCTCAAACCGGGAAATATCTTGCTAGACCGTAACTTTGTCAGCAAGATTTCTGATGTTGGTTTGGCCAGGTTAGTGCCTCCATCAGTTGCAGACACGGTGACACAATACCGCATGACTTCAACAGCTGGCACGTTCTGCTACATCGACCCAGAGTATCAGCAAACAGGCATGTTGGGTGTGAAATCTGATATTTACTCGTTAGGGATTATGTTTCTGCAGTTAATAACAGCAAAACCACCAATGGGTCTCACTCATTACGTCGAGAGAGCACTCGAGAAAGGGACTTTGGCAGATTTGTTGGATCCTGCTGTTTCAGATTGGCCACTTGAAGATACCGCAGAGTTTGCCAAGTTAGCACTCAAATGCGCAGAGCTAAGGAGAAAAGACAGACCTGACCTAGCTAAAGTTATATTGCCTGAGCTAAACAGATTAAGAACACTTGCTGAAGAATCAACGCAGTCTGTACAATTCATCAATAGCCCTGGACCATCCCCAACCGGAAGCCAAAATTCCTTGAAACTGGTGAGAAAGAACTGATTATATAGCTAAAAGCAAGAAATTAGAGTCCATTGATATAATACTCATGAGCTTATTTCTTCTCCTTGACAACACATTTTTGCAGGAACAGTTGGGTGGTGCTTCTATCTCTGTGCCTCAGTGATTGAGATATAACTTGGAGGTTAAGTACAGGGTTAACTAAAGTAGACAAGAGCTAGCCTCAAATACTAATTGGAGAAAGTTTTAAATATGGTCATGAAAATGAGCAATTGAAGAACTTGCATGCTCGTAGTATAAAGGAGATGCAATAGAATGTCTTTCCCTTGTAGAGAAACTGTTTCAAAAATTGTACAGATCATTTCTATAATATCCAACTTAACCATAAATTAAAAGAAAATGCAATCATGTTATGAAATATTAATATAGATGCTCATTATAAGACTCATATAAAATGTCACATCGAAAACCTGTGATCATAGCTAAATTTTTGTAATATTATATATCTCTCATTATTCATGGAATTAGATACAACAATTTCTTCTGTCTTGTCTTGGTAACTTATTCACAACAATTTCTTACTAAACAAGGAGGCATGTCGACAAACTTACTATTAATTGCATCCCTTGAATTTAATGCTTCTCTGAATAGTATATGTTCATGAAGCAATTACAATGGCATTATAAAATTATTCACAAATTAAATTTTATAATTTGCAATTAAAAATAAAAAATTAATCTATAAATCTGATAAACAATTCTTCAAAATAAATTATAAGGTTCCAAAAATATAATTGAGTTATATATAACTCTAAACTAAATGTCAGAATGCACATTGTGATAAAGGAATTGTTCAAAAAAAAAAATGCTCACATTACCCATATTCCCGCGTCAGAAGCTACCACTTGCAGAACTATAACACTTTTAACAAAATAGTGTGTTGCGGTGGGTCTCCATGACAAATTCTGTAGAAAAATATTAGAAAAAGTAGGAAGTTAATTAAAAAGGAAAAAAAAACAAGATTAAACTTTGGCTTTATCCATATTGTTATCCATCATTACAGTATCTCCCAACAACATCCAAGTTGTATTACTTTAAACTCTACTATTAGTAGATAACACGCATAACATATTCTTCCCTAACGCAGTTATCCTATAACTTACATATATTACATGTTAATGTTATGAGTTAGATGTAATTGTGCATTGTTATCAACATGTTATGATACTAACTTATTCGCTGATAACATACATAACATTCAATTCTATAATGCAGTTAGTCCATAATGTATTGCTATTACACATTAGCGGGTATATTGTTTAGACATTTGTTTTAGGGTTTAGTTAATGAGTTACTTAAGTTGATTTAGTGTTTAGTTAATGAGTTACTTAAGTTGATTTAGTGTTTAGTCATTTTGTTTTGGTTTAGGGATTCATGTTTATTGTTTATGAGTTTGTGTTTTAGGATTTTGGGTTTTATTATAGGGTTTAATAGGGTTCGTAGTTTATGATTTAGGTTTTAAATATAATCTATGTTTACATAAATTGGTGAAAGGTTTAGGTGTTGAGGGTTTTCTGTTTGGAGTTTAGAGTTTAGTATTTAGGGTGTAGAGTTTAGGGTTAAGGTTTTGGGTTTTAGATTTTAGAAAGAGGGAATATGGGCTTTTATCCGTTAATGTTAGTTCTTAATAACTAACTTAATATATATTTTTAGTTTCGCATATAACTATGATAGCTAATAATTATTTCTAGCATATGTTAACATTGTACAAAAGGATGTTTGGGGTTTATCATATACAATAAGATATCCACATCAAAGTCTCTAACATTTCCTTCCTATATACCACAAAAGATGAAACAGAATGTCATACATCCCACCGCCATAAAAAAATTGCACACCGTAAGGGATAAAAGGTATTTCTCCATTGTTGTTGCTATCGAAGTTAGCGTTGAACGACTAAGTTAACAGTACTTAGCGCAGTTGACTAATATAAAATTTATTGTTATCGTTACGATGTCGATATTAAATAAAATAATTAATGACTATGCATTAATTAAATATTGGTAAATCTTTGTGTTAGACGGTGGACCTGCCTATAACATTGCAACCTCAGAGCAATTAATGCTATGTCGGATTGTAAAATATTCAGAAAATATATGTCTTTGAATATAGGGATAAATCAGAAAAAATAAAAAATTCTCAATTTTGAAGGTAATTGTGAGTTTACAACCAAGTTACTCAATATAATTTCATATGGTAATTTCTGTTTTTTATTTATTTTAGTTTTTCTATTTAGAAAAAAAAAATCATTTTATATGAAATAAACAAATAAGAATATAAGGCTCACCACAAATTATACCCACTTTAGTCCACACTACCAGAGACATTTTTTTTGGTATGAATCCACACTATCAGAGACATTGTAGAACGTTATGCTTTCGATTATGGGATTTTCGTTATATTTTTTAAAAAAATATATGTCAGAAAATTTAGAAATTATTAATTAAAAGAGAAATTGCAGTAACTAGTAACCAATAAATTGAAAATTAGTTCTCTCTCCTCCGCACTATTCATCGCGTACTATTCATTGTCAAAAATCAATTTTGCCCTTCTCTTTTCAATCAAATTACATCTTTATTTTTATCTCTTTTCAACCATTTTCCATAAAAAAAAATGCAAAAAATAAAAGAAAAATAGAACAGAAAAAGAAGAAAGAAGAGAAGAAAGAAGATGAAGGTGAAGATAGAAATAGAGATGGAGGTTGGTTATAGTACAACGATGATGGTGTAACGACGATGGTGTTAATGACGGTGGTGACGTCAATGGTGACGTAACGATGATATGTTTTTTTTTTTTTGACATCGGTAACGATATGTTATCGATAACGTTGTTAGCAATTAGCAAATGAATTATCAATATAATTTTGTATAAATCTTGTTATGATAACTAAATTAACACACAACAAGTATCAGATATTATTGTTAACACATTATAATTATCAGATATTAGTGTTAACACGTTAATATTTATATAATATGTTACTATAATTGTTATCATATTAACTAATTATATAACATTATATTAATATTAGCACGTTAACATTTTATATTAGTCGTTAACAAAATAATTGTTATCATATTAATTGTTGTTAGCATGTTAACAAGATATTTTCCGGTAATGAATAGTGTCATCAGACGTTTGATGTACAGTGTAATCAGTTGGTGGGTGACTAGTATTTCTAGTATAATCTGTCAGAAAAAAAAATTAAATCAATGGCAATTTTGTAAATAAACAAAGTAAAAAGGATAGAAGTGGATAACACAATATATTCTCTTTGTTAGTTACCTAATTATCATTTTATCAATGCTATAAACTTAATTTTTTGATTATCCATTGATATACAATAAATTCACTCTAATTAAAATGATTTCAAGAAATAATAAAAGGAACAAAATCGAGGAGCAAAGACTGACACGACTTTTCTTTCTCTCAATCTCTCTCTTATTGTCGTTCGTCGTTTTGGTCAGCCTCTCTTCTCTCTCGGAAATGTCTTCTTGATGAGGTAATTTCCATTTCGATGTTGTTATCTCTCTCTCTCTATCGCTCTCTCTCTCTCTCTCTCTCTCTCTCTCTCTCTCTCTCTCTCTCACACACATCTCTGCTTTCGAATCAGTAATTATCTCGTTTCTTCTTCATCGCTTTCTCCTTACTGATATCTGCTAATCATCATCTTCAAATAGTCAGAACAATTTTGTGGTGAAAATTCACAACTTTTGTCCTCAGGTTTTGACCCATTAACGGTTGATCAAAACCCACTTTTTTTGCTTCTCGTTTTTGAATCGAAAGTGGTTTAAAACGATCAAAATCCAGACTTGTGTTGCTTCAGATATTTGTTTTCACCTGCTTCGAGATTTTGTTGATGGAAGTGATAGCTGAATTAAAACCAATTTATTTCTGGGTGTTTTTCTGTTTATCCTAATGTTGGGGGCAAATATAGAAAACCCTAAAGGTATTGCTTTTAGGGAAATATCCTCACATAAGCATAAATAGAACTTACTTAGGTCTTGAGACATCTCTTAAAAGTTTGGTTGTGTGTGTGCAAATGTCTTCTAATCTTTATGCCTAAGTTGTGTTTTTTTTCTTGTTTCTTATCTGTTCATGGTACAGAATATACACAGTCAAAGCCTAACTTAGCCGTTTGCTGGAACATTATTCACTGCCAGTTCAAAAAATTCTGCCTTTTACTTTACCAAAAGTTGTTGAATGATCGGGAAAAAATGATCGACGCACCAAAGTTCATCAGAGGAAATAACCACAACAATAGCAGTTACTATGAGCTCTACCAAAAACTTGAAGGTTCCAACATGTCTATTGATAGTTTACAGACAAGTACTGTTGGGGTTTCTGTAGCAACGTCGAGGGATAACAGCAGTGTTGGGTCGAATGATTCTAAAACCCACATTTTAGGCCACCCTGGTCTAAGACCGGTTCGCCAAAACTACACAGGCACAGCAGAAAACAGTGTTTACCGTCCAGGGAGCCATGAGCTCAACAATGACGCTCTAGCACAAGCTTTGATGGATAGTAGATATCCGGTTCAAGGGTTGGAGGAGTTCGATGAATGGACGATTGATTTAAGGAAACTCCACATGGGTCCTGCTTTTGCTCAAGGAGCATTTGGTAAGCTTTATCGAGGAACATACAACGGGGAGGATGTGGCCATTAAGATACTTGAGAGGCCTGAAAATGACCCTGACAAGGCGCAGCTGATGGAGCAACAGTTTCAACAGGAGGTGATGATGCTTGCAACGCTGAAGCACCCAAACATCGTCAGGTTTATTGGTGCCTGCCGTAGATCAGTGGTCTGGTGCATTGTTACAGAGTATGCCAAGGGAGGGTCTTTAAGACAGTTTTTGACAAAGAGACAAAACCGAGCTGTGCCTTTGAAACTGGCAGTTAAGCAGGCGTTGGATGTTGCTACCGGAATGGCATATGTTCATGGGCTTGGGTATATTCACAGAGATTTGAAATCAGATAATCTTCTGATTTCTGCGGATAGATCCATCAAGATTGCAGATTTTGGTGTTGCTAGGATTGAGGTCAAAACAGAAGGAATGACTCCAGAGACAGGGACTTACCGTTGGATGGCCCCGTAAGTCCATATCTTACTCTCTGTAAATACATATTGCTACCCTAATCTCGTCTCATTAGCCTTAGTTTGCTAGATTTTCTCCTTTGGTTAATAGCATGTGCGCATTATCAGAAGCAGTTATTGAGCTTTGGTCTCTATGACGTTTAGTTTCATGCAAACCAGTTCACAAATACTAAAAGATATCATAGGACCATAAAGCAGATTCTTGTTTTCTTATAAGAGGAAAGGCATTGATTGTGGACATGACTTTTGTTTCCTGATATAGTTTTTACCCACTTGAGTGTTTTTTTTATTTTCCTTTCGTTGTTTTATTTTGATTTTGTAAATAGTGTAATCCACTAGTTTCCCAGCAATGGTGATAGTCAACCATGCTATGGTGATTCAGGGATATGAATCTTATTTGATTTCCCCTAGTAGAATCTTGAACCAAGTTGAGAGAAGCATAATGAATATTATATAGCATAAACTTACCTTTTTTCTTTTCTTTTGATTTGACCTAATTGTCTTAAGCCCCACATTTTGAGTATTTTAGTGGTCTAGTCCTTTGGCTACTTAGTAATACTGAAGACTCTTAACATCAGCTTGTAACTAGAGTTAAAAGACACACATGATGATATATTTAAAATATGTGCCATTAGAAAGCTGGGAGTATTTTCGAATTCGTAATTCTACTCGATGCTAGTATAATTTGATCCTGGAAGTTTTAGTGGCAAATTTAGCATATTTTGGGTGGCAATTTTTGCATCTGAGTTTAGGCGTCTCTCTTGGTTTGATATCTGATCTAGGTTTAGTGTAGTTTATGAGTCTCTGTGTGTGTGTGCCCTTTGTGCTATGTGAATTGTTTTGTGGGTCATTTAGGTATACCAATTTGCATCATTTAACATGTTGGTAAAACTAAAATGGAAAGTGAAAACTAATGGTGGAAGTTTAGTCAAGCAGAGAGATAGAGATTCTATATTCTAAGCATATGCTATTAACATTTGTCAAACCCTTACTAGAGTCAATCTCTGAGAATAAGAATCCAATTGTGTTCCAGCTTTCTTCATTGGAATATGCTAAAGGATATAGACAATATTTTGTTACAAAGAAAAAAGATCATAATCATTGATGGTATTTTGCAGAGAGATGATCCAGCACAGGCCTTACACGCAGAAGGTTGATGTGTACAGCTTTGGGATCGTGTTATGGGAGCTATTGACCGGGATGGTCCCGTTTCAGAACATGACAGCTGTTCAAGCGGCGTTTGCGGTTGTGAACAGAGGAGTGAGACCAGCGATTCCAAACGATTGTCTTCCGGTGCTGAGCAACATTTTGACTCGTTGTTGGGATGCAAACCCTGAAGTTCGTCCACCATTTACTGAGATTGTGATGATGCTTGAGCGAGCCGAAGCAGAAATAGTGAACAACATTCGTAAAGCTAGGTTCAGGTGCTGTGTTCAACCCATGACCACAGACTGAGTCTCCGGAGAGTATATAGAGAATGAGAGACAAAAAGACAGAAACAGAACAGAACATAGGAGGAACATTTGAAAAGGAGATAAATATACTGTGTATTTATGTATGCTCTTATGTATTTATCTTCAACTTGTGTATTATTCACTCCAGTGTGTGTAGAGGGAGCCTCGTCGAGTAATTTATCATGTAGAAGTTTAGATTATCAATCAATGTTTTATTGAGAAGAGTATATATATTTTAAGGTTGCAAGTTGTAATGAAAAGAAAAAATACATTTTTTGTATACAAGAAAAATATTCACATTTGATCAAACTACAAACACGAAGTTTGGATTTTCTTTTACAAATTTGTCACTCCCATTGTTGAAGAATACAAGATTTTTATTGTGAAACTAATTAGTTGTAATCATCTTTGACCATCGGTAAACGTTGTTAGTGGCAAGAAAACTCGGATTTCCTTTAGTTTCGAGAAAAATTTAGGTTTTGGCTTTTGATATCGGTTAGGAAAAAAAAATTTAACTGAAAAGTGATTAAAATACATGATTGGGCTAACTGTTAAATATTTTTAATGCCTGGTTTATCTGCCAAATTTTTTGAGAAGTGATTCTAACACAAGAAAGGAAAATATTTGGTTTGTGTTAAAAAGGATAATTATCCTCATCACTTTTTCACCGTCTTATACTTTTAGATATTTACTCTTACCGACTTACTTTTATTATTATAAGTTTTCTCTTGGTCTATAAATAGACCTTCATGTTATGTAAAGAAATCAACTTTCAGACGAGTGAAATAAGAAACACTCTTCATCAATCTTCTCTCTCCCACTTACCTCTCGTCCCTTTCTCACTTCCTTCTCTTCCAAATTAAATAATATATATATATATATATATATATATATACATATAAACATACATATACTCACTTATTTTATATAATACATAAAACGTTATCAGCACGAACCGTTCTTATACCGTTCCTATACCGAAAAGGTGAGGTTTAATTTATGATCAATCCGTCTACTTTTATGTTTATATTCTATGGTCGGGATGATAGGCGATGCCTTCTCCGAACCGATCGTCATGGAGGCTATGCCTTTACGATCATGATCATATGGTAGACTATGTCTCCTCAGATCAAATATATGGTTGGTTTATGATCATATGGTAGTTGACTCCTCAGATCATTACCTCCATATAATAAATGTCCAGAAGACATTTAAGAAAAGTTTTTGAAGAACTAAGAAAAACATGTTATGTCTAGAAGACATACTTGAAAGAAAAATATGTCCAGAAGACATATGAAAAAGAATAGTTCCAGAAGAACTATATAAAAAAATATATATCCAGAAGATATATAAAAGCGTTCCTGAAGAACTGCATAATTAATTTCGTCCAGAAGACGAATATTTATTTTAATTATTGTTCTTTAAATTCTGTTAATTACTGTTATTTAATTTCTGTTTATTATTACTTTAAATTCAGTATTTTAAATTCAGTTTTTATTACGTTTATGAATTCTAAAATTTTATCATGTTTTATTAAAATCAGAATTTTTGAAACTGAAATTTATAAATTGTTGTATTGATAACAGTTATCATGTCGAATTTGACAAAACTCGAGATTACTGCCCTTGATATTTCTGGAAGAAATTATATGAGATGGGCAGTAGCTGCAAGGATGCATTTAAAAGGAAATGAGCTCCTTGATACCATCGATAAAACAAAAACAGTTCCTGAAGAGAAAAAGGCGAAAGCCATGATCTTTTTATTCCACCATATCCATGATGGTTTAAAAGATGAATATATCACGAAAGAAGATCCTGCAGATCTTTGGCAATCACTCCAAGATAGGTTTGATCACCAGAAATATGTGATCTTACCAAAGGCTAGACATGAGTGGTTGAACCTCCGGTTCCAAGACTATAAGAGCGTTAGTGAGTATAACTCCGCTCTATTTGGAATCACTTCCAGGATAATGTTGTGTGGAGAAAATATAAGTGATCATGATATGATTGAGAAAACTCTCTCAACATTTCATCCTGGAAACGTAGTCCTGCAGCAACAGTACCGGGCAAACGGATACAAGAAGTATTCGGAGTTAATGCAAGTTCTCTTGGTGGCAGAACAAAATAATGAACTCGTGATTTTAAACCATCAATCTCGTCCAACTGGATCAGCTTCATTCCCAGAAGTGAATGTTGCATCGTCAAGCCATGAAAATTGGCAAAGTGGACGTGGACGCGGTCGCGGAAATGATCGTGGTCGTGGACGAGGTTTTGGACGTGGTCGAGGTCGTGGACGAGGAAGAAGATTCCGTCCTGCTGATTTAAACGATGGAAGAAATAACAAAAAGTTCAAGGGTAATGAAGTTGGTCGCAAGCAACATGAGAGTGCTTGCTACAGATGCGGCATGAAAGGACATTGGGTTCGTACCTGTCGTACGCCAAAACATTTAGCCGATCTGTACCAAGAATCGCAAAAGGCGAAAGGAAAAGAAAGTGAAACCAACTTCATCCATGGTGAATCCAGTTTTTCGTTTGATGGTATAAACGATGATACAAATCTCGATATATCTGATTTCATCGTTGATCCCGAAGATATTAACGAAAAATAAAACGAGTAAAATCTTCTCGAAGAAGAAGATGTGACATGATGTATACATAGTGTGACAAATAAAAATGTAAAATATAATGTTTAAAAAAATGTATCTTTTGTTGTAAAAAGGTTTTTATTATAATATAGACTCTTTTGTTTGCTATATTAATTTATCTTTTATAAATATCTTGAATTCAGAAAATGTCAGAGATTAAGATCAAGGATGGAGATATATGTCTGGCAGATAGTGCGACAACGCACACAATATTAAAAGATAAAAAATATTTCTCCTCTCTAAATATGAAAGATTCCGCTGGAAGCGTGAATACAATATCTGGTAATGCAAAAATTATTATGGGCTCCGGAAGAGTCAGTTTTTCAATGCCAAGGGGAACAAAGTTTGAAATAAATGATGCGTTATATTCCCCTGGATCTTACAGAAATTTGTTAAGTTTCAAAGATATCCGCAGAAATGGATATCACATAGAAACTATGAATAAGAACGGCATTGAATATCTTTGCATTACATCAGTTATTTCGGAGAGAAAAGTTGTACTGAAAATATTACCAGCATTATCCTCCGGAATATATTCCACAAAGATAAATATGACTGAATCATATGTTACTGTAAACCCGAAGTTTACAAGTACATTTAAAATCTGGCATGAACGATTAGGGCACCCTGGTTCAGTCATGATGCGGAGAATTGTGGAAAATTCTAATGGCCATCCGTTGAAAAACCAGAAGATTTTTCAATCGGGAGAATTTATGTGTAATGCTTGTTCTCAAGGAAAACTTATAACTCGGCCATCACCAGCTAAAATCGGGAATGAATCTCCAGTATTCCTAGAGAGAATACATGGTGATATATGTGGGCCTATTCACCCACAATGCGGGCCATTTCGATATTTTATGGTATTAATTGACGCATCCAGTAGATGGTCACATGTGTGTTTATTGACAACACGTAATACGGCTTTCGCAAAATTCATTGCCCAAATAATCAGGTTGAGAGCACAGTTCCCTGATTATATGATAAAGAAAGTAAGACTTGATAACGCTGGTGAATTCACTTCCCAAGCTTTTAATGATTATTGTATGTCATTGGGAATTGATGTTGAACATCCTGTTGCACATGTTCATACACAAAACGGCATGGCTGAGTCATTGATTAAACGGTTACAACTCATTGCTAGACCGTTAATATTGAGAACAAAGCTCCCAATTTCAGTATGGGGTCATGCTATCTTGCATGCAGCGGCATTGCTTCAGATAAGACCGAGTTCATATAATAAATATTCCCCAATACAATTAGCATCTGGCCAGGAGCCAAATGTATCCTACCTGCGTGTGTTCGGGTGTGCGGTTTATGTTCCGATAGCCCCGCCACAAAGATTAAAAATGGGGCCGCAAAGAAGATTGGGAATATATATCGGTTATACGTCACCAAGTATAATTAGGTATCTTGAACCGCAAACTGGTGATATGTTTACGGCACGTTTTGCCGATTGCCATTTTAATGAAGATGAATTTCCAGCGTTAGGGGGAGGAATTAAAGAAGTTCCAAAAGATGTTACATGGTGCACACCATCTTTGTTGCACCTTGATCTCCCTACGAAACAACGTGAACTCGAAGTTCAGAAAATTGTTCATTTACAAAATATGGCAAATGAAATACCAGATGCATTCACAGATACGAAAAGGGTGACAAAGTCATATATACCCGCTGCAAATGTTCCATCGAGAATTAATGTTCCGGAAGAACAAAATGATGGAAAAATAGCAAATGAACCCAAAGTTCAGTTAAAGAGGGGGAGGCCGATTGGATCAAAGGATAAAAATCCCCGAAAGAAAAAGAAATTGGGAAAACAAAATGAAAATGGTCCAGAAGAACCACATACAGAGAAAGGTCTTGAAGACGAAAATGACGAAGAAAATCATGAGATTTCCATCAATTATGCCCAAGATGGGATATTATGGGCTAGAGATGAAATAGAAGATAATGATGGAATATTTTCATTCTCTGTATGCAAAGAAATTGAATATGAAATTGATGATCCAGATCCAAGGTCCATATTAGAATGCCAGAAAAGATCTGATTGGGAGAAATGGAAAATGGCCGTAGAAACTGAATTGATCTCCCTTAATAAAAGGAAAGTTTTTGGACCGATTGTTACAACACCTAAAGATGTACAGCCGGTTGGGTACAAATGGGTTTTTGTGAGAAAAAGAAATGAAAAAAATGAGGTGACAAGATATAAAGCCCGACTTGTCGCCCAAGGATTTTCTCAAAGACCGGGAATTGATTATGAAGAAACTTATTCTCCGGTTATGGATGCAATTACATTCAGATTCTTAATGAGTCTTGCGGCATCCAAAAATCTTGAAATGTATCTTATGGATGTTGTGACAGCATATTTATATGGATCACTTGATAATGATATCTATATGAAAATCCCTGAAGGATTGAAAATGCCTGAAGCATTAAGTTCCAAATCGAAAGAAATATGTTCAGTCAAGTTACAGCGATCACTTTACGGATTAAAACAATCCGGACGCATGTGGTATAATCGCTTAAGCGAATATTTACTAAAGAAAGGGTATGTGAATAATGCAATCTGCCCTTGCGTTTTTATTAAGAAATCTTCGTCAGGATTCGTGATCATTGCTGTTTATGTGGATGACCTGAACATTATTGGAACTCAAAAAGAGATTGATGATGCAAGAACTCATATGAAAGAAGAGTTCGAAATGAAAGATCTCGGAAAGACAAAATTTTGTCTTGGATTACAAATAGAGCATTTCCGAGATGGAGTATTCATACATCAATCAAATTATACTAAAAGGATATTAAAACGCTTTTGTATGGATAAAGCGACTCCTTTGAGTACTCCAATGGTTAATCGATCTCTCGATACGAAAAAAGATCCGTTTCGACCTTGTGAAGATAACGAAGAAATATTAGGTCCTGAAGTACCTTATATGAACGCTATTGGTGGACTTATGTATCTTGCAAATTGTACCCGACCGGATATAGCATTTGCTACAAATTTACTGGCAAGATATAGTTCGTCTCCTACGCGCAGACATTGGAATGGAATAAAACATATATTCCGTTATCTTCAAGGAACAATTGACTTGGGATTGTTTTACCCTAGAAACTCCAAACTTGGTTTAGTCGGTTTTGCAGATGCAGGTTATTTATCAGATCCTCATAAAGCTAGATCGCAAACTGGATATGTTTTTACGTTTGGAGGAACCGCAATCTCTTGGCGTTCTCAAAAGCAGACATTAGTCGCCACTTCTTCAAATTATGCAGAAACTATTGCGCTTCATGAAGCATGTAGAGAATGTGTATGGCTCAGATCTATGACTCATCATATACAAGAAGCAAGTGGAATAGCCATTAACAAAGAACCGACAAGATTGTTCGAAGATAATGCTGCATGTGTTGCTCAACTAAAAGAAGGCTATATCAAGAGTGATAGAACGAAACATATTCCTCCAAGATTTTTCTCTTATACTCAAGAGCTCGAGAAGAATCAAGAAGTCGATATCCAGTATGTTCGTTCATGTGAAAATGCGGCGGATCTCTTTACAAAGGCGCTTCCTACTACAATATTCAGAAAGCATATTCAAAGTATCGGAATGCGTCATTTGCGGGATTTATGAAGAGAAAACGTTATATCCATCATTCCAGGGGGAGATTACGTTATTGTACTCTTTTTTCCTTGTCATGGTTTTTATCCCATTGGGTTTTTCCATGATAAGGTTTTTAACGAGGCAATACGTAATACGTTAACGATGATGGATAATTAAGGGGGAGTGTTAAAAAGGATAATTATCCTCATCACTTTTTCACCGTCTTATACTTTTAGATATTTACTCTTACCGACTTACTTTTATTATTATAAGTTTTCTCTTGGTCTATAAATAGACCTTCATGTTATGTAAAGAAATCAACTTTCAGACGAGTGAAATAAGAAACACTCTTCATCAATCTTCTCTCTCCCACTTACCTCTCGTCCCTTTCTCACTTCCTTCTCTTCCAAATTAAATAATATATATATATATATATATACATATAAACATACATATACTCACTTATTTTATATAATACATAAAAGTTTGCTATTAAAAGATTATGAAAAAACATATGCCATTGTATATTCAAATAAAAACTAGCTAATTTAATGTGTCATACATTAAAATACGAGATTTGTTTTTCTTTAATAAAAAAAAACAAAATAATGGGTGGAAAAAAAGGTAAATCAATAATAATTTTCTAAAAAGAAGGCAAGCGTGAATAAGAAAAGAATACTGTTGCCGTAGAACTAAAGCGGCAACGCGCTGCCTCATACGACGACCTCGGTAAAAACAAATAAATATGCAACACGTGTTATTTCATCATAGCGCGTGTGATACCCTCTCCATCAGCGAGAGTGTGGCTAAGAAAAGGAATTTGCCGGTAAAATTAATAAAAGACGGATCAAAAATTAAATAAACGAACCAAAAAAACAAAACAAAAATCGAAAGCTGAGAAAGTAAATGGGAAACGACGACTGACTCGTCTTCTTCCTCTTCCTCCTCCTCCTCCTCGTTCCCTTTTTCTCTTCTTAGGTTTCTGATTTTGATCGGAGGTAAAACGTTTAAAAGTTTGCGATTTGATGAGCTAGGGTTTGTAATTTCCCGAATCGGATGTTTGTCACTGTCTTCTTCTCTTCGATCTTTTTACTCATCGGGTGAGACAAAAGAGGCATCTTTTTCATGTGTTCCCGCGTATATCGACTGTTTTATTGGGCTTAGAAAGCTCTAGGTAAAACCCTAATTTCTTCTTCTTCTGCACTCGAATCATTGGATCTGTGTTAACTTTGTGTTCTTCACTTTTATTTTTTTTTCTGGGTTTTGATTTCAGAGCCACTGTCTCTTTCAGTATATGGAAATGATAGTTTGTTTTGTGTAGTCATGATCTGTAGCTATCAAATTTAGGTTTTTTTTTCTCTGTAATGGGTCTGGTTTCTGCTTAATTTCTTGGAGAAGTTAAATTCGAATCTAATGGTGAAGAGTAAACATAGTTGGTGTGCTTACTTTCTGCGTTTCACTAGCTCCTTTTTCTCAATTAAGGGCTTGCATGGTGTAGAGCTTTTTCACTAGTTTCGTGACTGTATTGATACATTTGTTTTACAGTTGCAAGAGAAGACAAATGCTATTTCTTATCTCATTGCTTGTGGTGTATATTGAAGTGATTGTTTTGTATCATCTTTGTGCCCTTGCAGTTTGGTTTGAGAATCGTAATATCGATTAAAGAAAAGATGCTCGAGGGAGCAAAGTTCAACGTGCTGGCTGTTGGGAATCACAACAATGACTATGCTTTCACGCAAGAGTTCTATCAAAAGCTCAATGAAGGTTCAAACATGTCCATGGAGAGTATGCAGACGAGTAACGCTGGAGGCTCAGTGTCAATGTCTGTGGATAACAGCAGCGTTGGTTCTAGTGATGCTCTTATTGGCCACCCGGGTTTGAAGCCATTGCGCCATGTCTACTCACTCTCGGTCGGGCAAAGCGTGTTTCGCCCCGGGAAAGTCACACACGCGTTGAATGATGACGCCTTAGCTCAAGCACTAATGGATAGCAGGAATCCAACAGAAGGGCTGGCCAACTATGAAGAGTGGACGATAGATCTGAGGAATCTCCACATGGGTCCTGCTTTTGCTCAAGGGGCTTTCGGTAAATTATACAAAGGGACGTACAATGGGGAGGACGTAGCGATCAAGATACTTGAGCGGCCAGAGAACAGTCCGGAAAAGGCACAGTTCATGGAACAGCAGTTTCAGCAAGAAGTGTCTATGCTTGCGAATTTGAAGCATCCTAACATCGTAAGGTTCATTGGTGCGTGTCGCAAGCCAATGGTGTGGTGTATAGTGACTGAGTACGCTAAAGGAGGTTCAGTGAGGCAGTTTTTGACAAAGAGACAGAACCGAGCAGTGCCATTGAAGTTAGCTGTTAAGCAGGCGTTGGATGTTGCTAGGGGTATGGCTTATGTACATGGACGCAACTTCATACACAGAGATCTCAAGTCAGATAACCTTCTCATCTCAGCTGATAAGTCAATCAAGATTGCAGATTTTGGTGTTGCTAGAATCGAAGTTCAAACCGAAGGAATGACACCAGAAACCGGAACTTACAGATGGATGGCTCCGTAAGTTTCGAAACCAATTCTTGATCTTTGTTTTTTTTGTTATCATTCTTGTCTCTATATGCATGAATATAGAGATTCTGTTTTTGTTGATGGTTGCAGAGAGATGATACAGCATAGAGCCTACAATCAAAAAGTGGATGTGTATAGTTTTGGGATAGTCTTGTGGGAGTTAATCACAGGACTGTTACCGTTTCAGAACATGACAGCTGTTCAGGCAGCGTTTGCGGTTGTGAACCGAGGAGTTCGTCCAACGGTTCCAAACGATTGTCTACCGGTGCTGAGTGAGATCATGACTCGTTGTTGGGACGCTAACCCGGAAGTGCGTCCATGTTTTGTGGAGGTTGTGAGTCTGCTTGAAGCTGCGGAAACAGAGATAATGACGACTTCTAGAAAAGCCCGTTTCAGATGTTGCATGAGTCAACCAATGACGATCGACTAAATAAAAAAATCCCACAAGTGAGAAAATATATAAGAAGAGAAGAAAAGGGCTTTTTTAGATTTTTAAGTTTGTGTGTGTATGTGTGTGTGTTTGTGTATTTGTAAAAGAAACTGAAATGTATTTTGTTTTCTCAAGATAGGAGAATTAAGTTACCACCCAACCACCATTTTAAATCTAAGGGTATTCATGTTAATCAAGAAGAAAACCAAAAAAAGAAACACTCAGTTATAACTTATAATGCCATATGATTACATGGATTCAAAACAAAAAGGAAATAACAGAAATTTAATGGATATGGTCATTGAGTCCAAAAATACAAAACAATTAATGTTTTAGTTCCATTTTCGTCCACAAATTTGATTTAGTTGTATAACTATTGAGAGAAGAGATACCTGTAAACCCAAAAACAGTTTCCTACCGATCTAGAGAGACCCCAAAAATATATAGTATAATTCTTTGTCACCTTCGGCGATTAGCATTAGCAGCTCGAAGGTCACTTTGAATGCGCTCTGCGTACATTGGGAGACGAATGATCTCTCTTATTTCCTCAAGCAACACTTCCTCTGTTATATTGTCGTTTATGCTCTTTATCACCTATTATTTTTCAGACACAAACAACCAAACAGATCAACATTTTGTCTTTTGTTTTTGCCAAGCTTGAATTCGTTTCAGTAACACTGACCTTACGAGCAGTGTTGATATCATTAGGTGTGGTTTTATCAGCTCTGACCCGCATGCTAACCCATACTTTCTTCTCTTTATCCCACGAACACTCTACAATCTTCCCATTGTAACTCGATTGATCCGAATCATCGTATCTAAACTCAACCGAATAGCCGTCCATAAGCTTTTTCTTCCCTCTTTCATGCAAGAAGAGCTTTCCACGGTCATCATTCTCGCTCGTCTCAAACAGAAAGTCCACAGAGTTCATTTCTGCATACTTCCACTTCAATAAGCCTTTATGCGTTCGAGGAACATAAGGATCATCCCAACCCTATTAATATACACGTTAGCTCAAGGAACCTATAATCCAAATATAAACATCCCTTTTGGTTACCTGAAATATTAGACCATCTGCTTCATGTGAAAGCGACGGAATAGTATTCTTCAAAATCTTCTCAACAGTAGAAAGTAACCAAAAACCCTTTATCCATACCTTTATGCGTAACAAACAAAACTTTAGCCAAAACAGTTTTATACAACAAAGATATGGCTTGTGACAGAAATTTGCAACTGGCAAAACTTCACCCCAAAAGGTTCAAGGTCGTATCTGTAGCAATGACTTTTGTGCTTCTCGGCATTTCGGACATTGATAACCTCACTCTGAGCCATGTTCCATCTTTCACAGAAAGTCCGCTGTTTCGATTTTTCAGAATCAATCGAAGTCAGTCCAAGAAAACTAACAACACGAGGAACATGTGAGGAAATAATGACAATTCCAAACCTCTACGACCGATTCGCCATTGATTGCTACCATATCATATACAAGGTACCTTCTCCTCGCCTTTCCTTTTTCATCCTTGGCGTTATCTATAACCATTTCTCCATCAAGCAAAGTGTAATGATGCACTTTATCAGATATTCCCTACCAGCCAAAAAACCAAGTAGTTCAGGGAATTCACACGTTTTCGAGATAGACACAGAAGGCCTCTAAGCAAAGATAGCAAACTACTCACTTCAGTTTGGTTCTTACAAGGGAACCGCATCTGAACCCTTCGAAACTTAAAGCTCCTATCTATTAAATAGCATCCATCTACAGTAATGAGCATCATATAACGTGTTCCATCTGCTTTCCATGTCGCGTAATAGTACCGCTGCCTCAACAGTTGCAAACTCTCCCTGTGCATAAGTAAGCGTAAGAGTTTAACTACATTGAGAAAGTAAGAATATTGAACCACTTAAATTAAGGACATCAACTTGCTAAATTGTCTTTCTATGCAATAACAAAATAAAGCAGAGAGTCTGACCTGTCTAAAGATACAGGATGAGAACCTGGGAATTGCGTACATCCTCTTCCCTGGATCAGAGAAAAATTAATCCATGAAAGCCAGTGTTAGATTTGGCTAATCACACTCATACAACAGCGAGACAAAGGAAAGAAGAAACAGAATTTTATCCAATCACTTGAGGGAAACGCATATGCTAGTCAAACGAAAACGAAGGAACTCCTAAACTAAACTATACGATATATCAACAGAATCTTCAAGACAAGAAGGAAAAACCAATGGTAAAAATAAAAAAACTACCAAGACAAGGAAAACATCGGTTGATATAGGCATAATGACTAAGTTCACTGAAAGTTACTATAACATCAGTACAAACAAACTTTGAACATGCTTTAAATGAAAGATATATGCAAGAAAAAAGTAGGCCTAAACATAATACTCCATAAGAGCACATAGAGAGAAAACAGGGAATAACAAATAAACATTTTAAGCTCCTACCCCAATCATAAGCATCTTATAACAGAATTGCCTGTAAGCTTCCTCCTGATAATAGGGTATTTCATCACCCAATATGTCATCATTCGACATCATCACATTCTCTTGATTGTTCTCCTGAAATAACAAAACAGTAAGAAAGTAAAGATCAACAACATACCAATTAGAAAGCTCGAGCAAAATGATATTGACAGTTTATGAACTTTTTCAGCCTTTAAAAGACTCAACTGCACCCAAATAAATTGACTTAAAAGTAAAAAGTGATCATAATATCTACAGAGAATATCTACGTTTAGAAAAAAATTTCCAAGATCACTGAGTGGTAAGTAAATTACCATGAAGTCAAGAAACAATAGTTATGAAGCTGGAATGGGAAAAAAAAAACGCAAGTATTCAGATTAGCAAGTCTATATTGACAAAGGAAAAGAGCACATCTGAAGCATAAAAATGCATGCATGATATCATTTAATGGAAACTGCTGTCAATATGTGTTGAACTTAGGAGATTAATATACAATAACCACTAAACTGCACCACGCTTACTTGTACAGGGCCAGGTGGAGCCTCATCATCGTCATCAATGTATTGAACTGCTTCACCATTAAGATCAAGCTCGGTAGATCTCTTCCATTCAGGAGTTGGTGGGCAAGTAAGACTCGTAGGCTTAATTTCGTGATAAGAAGTGTATAAAGCGTCAATGTAATCTGGTTTATAGATCCCAGGTGGACGGGCATCAGAAAACATTTTCAACGCCTGCCAAAGGCCACAGAGAGGTAAGATTCTCCATTATAAACATGATCGATATAACGAGTGCACAAGTGCAAAAGTGAAAGAATTAAACCTGCGTAACATTCATCGGCGTAGAGCGCATAAGAAAATGAACTATCATGAATCCTGTCCGGTTATGCCCATGTGTACAGTGGACGAGGACATACTTCTTTGTGTGTTTTTGATTATAAATGAACTGATTAACCTGAAGACAATATCCTTGAATAAGCTACTAATAGCAATAGATAACAATTGAAATGCAAGAGGGAAAAAAATGGTTTTGAATGTTTTTTGTCCATCAAGAGAACTGAATTTATGAAACAAGTACCTCGTGGACGAAGTTGTTTACAGATACATTATCTGGAACTGCATCACGACCCCTACAGGCAATCTACAACAGGAAAAAGAAGAAGATAAAGCAATCCTTTAGTGTCAGTGAAGATGATACGAACGATAAGAAAAAAACATGTATTCCATTTCACCTTAACATGTTTGATGCCATCCTTCTTTAATTCTAGTGTAGGATAGTAACGAGTTGTATTCGTCAGATCAATCACAAGACCAAGCTGAAACAAGAATAGTATACATACCCATTTTCAGGGAGTTGAATAGCATTGAAAAAACTGATGAAATGTTCAAACTTACTTTTCTTCCATTTATTCCCTGGTTTCGGACCACCTGTTTAAAAGAGTATCTTTTTCCAGGAGGAACATGTTCGTTGTAAGATTCACTAAGGGGAACCTTTGAAGGAATAATGTATCCTATTTCCAGACCAAAACCAGGACAATCTAGCCAACCTGTAGTGGCCAAAATAATACTGATCTTAAAAAGGAACAAAAAGATCTTTTTGAGAAAATATGCTAAAGAATACATTACCTTGAGGTATCTTGCTTTTATCATAAACTCTAGTATCTCTGTTCTGATGATACTGATCACGGAAAACTGGCTGAGAGATTCGAGTTGGCCTGTCTACTCTCATTCTTCTCTTTCTTTCTTCACGCTCCTATAACGAAATGTAAAACAATTGAAGAAAAGATAGTAAGAATATGATCACTCCAAAGTATCAAAATTGCTCCTGAACATATATAGATATCACTGCATAGTTACTTCTTTAGAGGTACATTCAAACACTACCTTTAAGGTGCCAAATCAAGAACACTTGGTAATGTAGTTAACTATATAGTCTGTGATTATAGCTTTTCGTGTTTAAATTGAATTTAATTATACCCGTCTTGCGATCTCAACTGCAGATTCAGTTCGATCTTCAAGACGACGTCTCTTAAAAGGTTCATCGTCTTCTTCGGGCTGGGGTGGAGCATTAAGGTCCATATCAATCAATGGCAAAACAACAGAATTTACCACAAGTTCCCAATTTGGCAAGATATTCCGTTTCTCTGATTTCTCTTAAGCAACCAAACAGCAGAAAATGAAGAAAAATACGAATCACCAAAATCTCAGCCGAGCCCAATTAGACAACACGAGAACCGATTAAGAATTTCCCGGGGGAATCATCAGACAGAGAACATAGGCACAAATCAAGGAAACAATCCGACGATGCGTTGATAATCGACGAAATCAATCGGAGAAAATTGAAATCGAAACCTTATATAAAAGGGAGAGACGTATAGGAAAATAGAGAGATAGAAACGACAACGTGGTTTGTATTTATATACAGTATGCCGCAGTTGAAACTACAAGGCAGAAAAAATGACAATTTTCTTTCCGCCGCCATAGTTTTACTGTTTTATTACACCAATCCGAATATTGTATAGAATTTTTACTTTTGAACCTCCAAAATTTTTCCTCAATTAGGTTCAAAAGGTACTGTAATACTACTATTAAACCATTTTTACGTTTAAACCTCCAAAGTTTAAACCTCCTAAATTTTTATTTTTACGTTTACACCTTCAAAATTTTTATTTTTACGTTTACACCTTCAAAATTTTCATTTTTATGTTTAATGTGTAAACCTCCAAAGTTTAAACCTCCAAAATTTTTATTTTTACGTCTACACCTCCAAAATTTTTATTTTTACGTTTAAACCACCAAAATTTCCATTTTACGTTTAAAATTTATTTTTCGTAAAACTATCTCTAAACTATGAACTAGTCAAGAGAAACCCCTGACGTCGGTTGTCAATTCGACTCGGGAATATTGATTTCAGAAAGTACCTTTTTTTTTCCTTACATGTTCTTGTGTATTTATAAAAAATCTGAGTGTATTTTATTTTCTCAAAATAGGGTAAAAAGGAAACAACCGGGACTATTTGTATCTGAACAAATGTTTGCTTAATATTTTTTTTTTAACTTAGAAATGTTATACCATTTCTTCACGTCTCGTCATTTGTTAGCTTTACTCATTTAGATCATCGCTAATGTGTCCTATGAAACGTAAATAGAGCTAAAAAAACTGTCAAAAGTGGAATCAATTGTGACATCAGTAACGAAATATATGCGTTTCAGTTATCTCTAGTCGTTTCCTATCGATGATACGATTATAAAAGCTGTACAACGACGTCGTTAAGGTGATGTATGTAGCCTCTCTTTACTATAAAGCTTCTATTGGTTAAACTTCCAGTAACTACTACCTATGGTGCTGGTGTCTCTGACATTACTCCAGAAAGTTATCATACGTGCCTCCAAACCTGGAAAGTCGGAAGATGTTTGGTTGTGTCTGAAACGAGTAATATGGTTCGAGAGAGAGAGATAGATAAGAACTGAAGTGGACCTTGATTGGTCTTGAATAGAAGATTGTGTTGCTCAGAGCTATTGCTTTGTTAACTGACTCCTTTGTAGCAAAAGTCACAAAAGCAGCTCTGCTGAAGGGATGGTATCAATTGTAAATAAGGACGATTGCTTGCTTAAAATGAGTCTCTGTGTAGTAAACTCTTGCAAACGAACAAGAGATTAAGAAGAAGAGAGGATTTTTACCCCTTTGGATGTCGAGTTACTGGATCAGTTACAATTGTAACGTTTTCGACAGTTCCACACTTGCTGAAGAGCATTGATATAGCTTCTTTCTTTGCTGCATAGTGCACCTAAAAAGCTCAAGGAGAAGTAGTTTCGATGAGTTCTAGTTTTCAACCTCATTCAGAAAAGCAAGTTAAAGAAAATAGACAATGTCACAAAGAAAAGATGAAAAGAGGACCCTGTTGGATTACGTTAGTAACATGTATGATTCTTGATTCTGTGACATCTTCTTGATCCTGCAATTCGCCTGAGCAGGAGAATTTATCACGTGACACGAGGCAGACAGTCAGAGAAGTTAAGCGGCAATGAGTTATTAGCTGGTTCCAAAACGTATGAGTTTCCATACCAGATTGTGGTGAGCGTTTGAGTTCTCCAACTTTTGGTTTCTTCAACTGCTTTGCTTGATTAATCTGGATTTCTAGTTGTTGCATCTTTTGTTTCATGTTCAGTATCTCCTGATGAAAGAAAGAACACCATTATTTCAGATGCGAGGAATCTAGTGTCACATAGCAATAAAGTATAACTAATAACATGCGCAGCACGTACAGTGAAAAGATCTGGCTTTGCTGACTGATCAGAGATCAGGCTTGGCTTTTCAACATCCTGTTTAGCTTGCTTATACTGAAGAACACTGCTCAACTCACCAAGTGAAGCACCTCCTGAATCGGGGTTGATGATGCCATAACGCCTCTTTCTGCTGAGGTTATACGCGGTATGAGGTTCAGTGTATGTAATAGTTCCACTCTTGGGTTTCCTAGCTTTATAAGACTGGGAAACTCCGCGCCTGTATCTGACTGCAGGAGCTTCTCTTTGAAATGTCTCCACATGTTGTTCACTATACGCTACAGGAAATGCTGGTCCATGCTGCTCTGGCACTTCGTTTTCATCTGCCTGAATCCTAAACTTAGGCAAGGTAGGGTATTCTTTGTCAAGGGCATGGTTGGAACATGGTCGGCTCAAACGATCCCAAACACTAACATGAGGTTTTGGAAAGTATAGGCGCTTCTGTAGGCTTCCTCTCCTTTCATCCATAGACTGCTTTGCATATGTGCAAGGGTCAAGTTAGAGGACGGAAATTGCATAAACGATTGCAAAAACCAACTCAGAACCAGGAAATTAACTTTTCCAACCTTTTCATATTTATCAGGATTTATACGACATGGTTCTTTAGTGGCTGAAACGACAACGGAGCGCAGTACTTTTCTAGAGTAATTAAGACCAGCCAAGTTCCAATCATCTTTCTCTTTTGGTTGTGCCCTTTTACAAGGGCTATCGATGAGCTCTTGTCGTAACATGTTCATGCTTTTAACTTTTGGCGACACATGAGTCTCAATGTCTTCCCGAGCAGTAGCTGATATCAGCTCTTCCTGCAAAGCCATTCACAATGAGAATCCAAGAAACTGCTGCAGAATTCACAAAAAATGAAAGACACAGAAGTCTTAATCATACGTTCATCCAGTAAGTAGCATTGGTAGCTTTGTGATCATAGTCATTATCCCTTCTGGAGCTTGAACCTTGTTCGATTGAAGTATCATGAAAACCACAGTCAACCTCAGTCTTAGGTTCAGAACCAGAATTTTCCTGTTTACCTTGAGAGAAGTCATTCAAAAGAAGCTCCCACAAGCTGAAGACGAAAAAAAACAGATAGTAGTCACTGTGCAGTGTAACAAATACCTTATAAGTGAAACTGAGTATATCAAAAAGGGGGATTTCAGAAAGCAAACCAGGCAACAAATTCCCCAGATTGCTCCCCAAGAAATGCCTCCAAATAGTCTCTTGCCTGGCTCTGACTCTTTCCGTTACAAACAATCACAGTAACATACTCCTGGAACAAGCTAAACTCATCAGTAAAACACGGAATCAACTGTTCTTCACACAGAATCAAGCATCAACCTGCATTCTCTGCTCTCAACGGGATCAGACGTACAATGAATCAGTCCGAACAAAGCAATAATTTATACATACAGTTTCCTGAAATCCAAACGCACCGTGACCTTATACGAGCCAGCTGCGAAACTATCATCGATGATATGTAACCAAAACAGTAATGGGAAAAGAATAACATAGGCATCAGTACCAAATCCGTTGAGCGAAATTTACATAAACAAGACAGACGACGAAATTAAACTGTATATATTACTTCTGCGAGCAGAGAAGAGTTCGTACAAGAGAGAGCAAAAGTAAACAAAGGAATTCGAGAATAAATAAAAAACCCTAGGAATCCTATACAGAACAAAACGAGCATGAAGATGAGAAGGAAGATGACGAACAGAGAGGACGTCGTCGTCAGAGTAATAGTCAGAGAAGAGAGGAAGCATATCGGATATTATTGCTTTTAGTCGAGAAGCGGACTCGGATTCTCTTGGCATCGGGAATGTTAGTGAATCAAATCCTTCAGACATCTTCGTATCACTGAACTTGAACCTCTCGCCGCCTTCGATTCTCCGTTTATCGCTCGTCGCCGGTGAATTGGTGAAGAAGATTCGTCGGGAACAAAGCCTGAGAAATCGATGAGGGCACTGTTCACCACAGTTCTCTTATAATAAGGCCCAGCTGCGTCGTAGTACATAAATGATTAGCATCGGCCAATTTCCCTCCCTCGTACATAAATGGTTTTGGACTGTAGTTATTTAATTAGGTAATTAACTAATTAATAATAATATTCAGATTTTTTTTTTTTGGTATGCGACAGGAATAATTGTCCCTTTTATTTATTAAAATAAATCAAATTACAAATAAATATTCCGCGGACAGACCCTCTAACATCCTCCGATAAAATAAAATTTATACAATTCGGACAAGAGTCCAACAAAAATATGCCTAAAGGCCGAGAAAACGCATTAGCTAATCCATCTGCAAGACGATTGGCCTTCTTATACACATATGAGATACGGACAATCCAATTCTTCAAAAGAAAGCCATAACACAAACGTACGAGGAATGACAAGGGATGAGTGTCACTAATCCCTGTCCTTTGGAAACCCCACCACCATCTCTAAGTCCACTTCTAACTCCACTCGAGTATATCCTCTCTCCCAAGCGATGTATAACCCATAGTATACCCCCCCCCCCCCACAATTCCGCCAATGGTGCTGTACAAGATCCTATATAAAGAGCAAAACCTTGGATCCATTATTTCTCTCCATCTCGTAAGACTCCTCCTGCCGTTGCCAACCCTGGATTCCCATGAGAGACCCCATCAGTGTTCAACTTCACCCAGCCCTCCCTTGGGCAAGTCCAAGCAATCAATCTCTCCACCCTTAACACATCTTCGGGACCATCATTGGCTAGTAGCTTAGCTCTATAGACCTCCAGCGCTAACTCCTTAACAAAACGAACCCTATCTCGACACTTCCCATTCTCACCAAACACGTTTCCACATCTCCATTTCCAACCCCACCATACAGCCATACCAAACAAAGTAGCCCACGAAAACGCATTGCTCACTATAACATCTCCCAAATTCCCAAATATCCATTCAAGTAAAGTTTGATCAAAGAATATTCTACGCTTACTTGGAGGAACAATGCGCTGCCAAATCTCCTTCATCGCTGGACAATCTCTTAAAACGTTTAGGATTGTCTCCTCTCTGCTTTTACAAACTTGACAAATCTCTGAGTCACACAAATGCCTTCTCCTTCTGTCTGAATTTGTCATGATGGCTCTATTCAGCACCTGCCAGAGAAACACTCTCACCCTCTCCGGAACCATAGCCGTCCACACTCTACCAAACAAGGCCTCCATATTTGGCTCGGGAGACTCATCCCTTGTTAAATAAATGAATGCTGATTTCACAGAAAAACGACCAGTCGGATCTGCTCTCCACGAAACCCTATCTATTGCTCCTGTTACCGTATCAACCACCATAGACGCAAGATTCAACACAACAAAGCGTGGAACAAAGAACTCAATACGTGTCAGGTCCCAACCTGTCCCCTCAATCCATAAATCTCGTACTTTCAACTCGATTAACTCCAATGGTAAATCACTAGTAGTCAATTCCTTAATCAGCCCATTCAACAACCACTTATCCTTTCAAAATTTTATCGATCTTCCATCCCCAAGAACCCAACCTATTCCCGGGATCACCAGTTCCCTTAAACCCATTCCAACACTCCGCCAAGTTGAAGACCAATTATTTTTCACTAATGTCCATGAAGTGTCATGAATATCTCCTACCTTGTACTTACTCCTCACCACTCTTGCCCACAAACTCGTAGTGTCATGAAGCACTCACCATCCAATCTTAGCTAACAAAGCTTTGTTCATTTCCTTCGCTGGTCTAATCCGAAGCCCTCCTTTACCTTTTGGTAAACAAATTCTTTTCCAAGACATAAGATGCTGTTTTTGATTCTCTGAAGTACTGCCTCATACAAACATTCTGGAAATTTTGACAAGTCTAGCAAGAGTTGATTTTGGCATAAAATAGTACTCATGGAGTGAACTGGTATAGATGAAAGGACTGATTTCGTTAGAGTTATTCTCCCTGCTAAACTCAATACCCGGCCCTTCTATCACACTACAAGAAAAACACTGTTTTACAACGGTCAAAACCGTCGTAAGTTCGTTGTAAAATCCTTATTACGATGAACTAGCGACGGTTTAGAAACCGTCGTAAATTCATCGTCGTAAACGATATTTTGTCGTAAAATCGTTGTAAAATCTAGGACGATTAAAAATCGTTGTAACATCGTCGTAAATAGAGCGTCGTAAATGCGTCGTAATATTTACGACGACTTTACATCGATTTGCCTCGATTTGGTTTTCAGCCTAACCGACGTAAAATTGTCGTTAACAACCGACGTAAGTTCGTCGTATAATATACGACGAAACTTTTGTCGTAATTCAGTCGTTTTTTTTATGTTCGACGTAAAACCGTCGTAAAAAGCCAATGTATATTCGTCGTATACTACGTCGTATATTATACGATGAATATATCGTCGTAATTGGGTTGTACTGTTTTATATTTTTTTTTTACGATTTACCACGATTTATTAAATAAATAATAAATATACTACGACGATTATACGACGTTTTCGTTATAATGAAATAAAAAAATATTTAATCCGAACTAAAATATTAATTGAAAAAAAATATTTTAATTTAAATTAAAATTCAAAATAAAATATTTATATTAATTACAAAAAACTTATCAAAGATCTAATTCTAAACTAATATCGTCTATTTCCGCATCGTCCCGCTCTAGATCTCCATCTTGGTCCAAAATTTCCTTGCCGGGTCTTCGATTGGAGGCTTCCGGCGCCGCCTGATCCTCGGCTCTAGAAAGATCAACCTCGAGAGACCGGAACATCTCCTCGTCCGTCTGCACCGGTGGTTGCCTCCTCGAAGATGAAGAAGATACTCCGAAGACTCCAGATGCTCGCAACCTCGTCCAACTGTGCCTGAAGCAACGGGTTGTCGGCGCCCATAATCTCGAAGAGACCGTACATCTGGTCGATCTTTGTCTCGTACTGCGTCCGCATCTGGTAGAGCTCCTGGCGGATAACGAGTGGATCCTCTGCCCGGACATGACCAGTTACCGTAGCGATCGGGGTAACAGATGGATCCCATCCCTAATACCCTGCCCTTCTTCCGAGGGGCAACCTGAAAAAACGTAGAAAACTTATATAAAACACTATATATAGTTAAAATTAAACCAAATAGAAAAAAATAAAGTAAAATAAACTTACCTCTTCGAAGATCTGGTCCATCTCCGCCACCGTCAAGGTCGGTGTGGACTGGACCGAGCTACCTCCGGGAGACGTTGGAGGCGTCTGCTGTGTGAGCTGCGTCTGCTGCTCCTCGATCCTCGCAAAGGCTGCATTGTAGATTACCTCGGCCCAAGGATCCGTGAATTCGCCGTTCTTCTTCTTATGGGTTTCGGCGAAGACCTTCATCATCAGAGGAAGTTCTCTCCCGTTTTCTTCGATCTACAAAATCAATTTGAAATTATTAATAAGAAAAATTAGGTTTATTGAAAAACAAAACTTATTTTTAAAAAGTTACCATCATAAGTCGTCTCCCGGCGAAAGGAACCTGGTCGGAAGTGTGCAGGACGTTCTTTGGATTTCCCGCATCGTCAATAGCATTCCTGAAAATAAAAAATTTATTAATTAGATTTGTAATTAAAAAATATAATATTATATTATAAACACATATTAATTTAAATTACAAACAAACCTGGAAGTGGAACACTTGGCGGCAACAGTCTGGTTGTGTGGGGTCAACCAATGGTGCACCAGACCCTCCCACACGGTATCGGCCATTGGCGCCGGCTTGGCCTTGTTACCGTCGACCTCCCACTTCCGTTTCCAGTCGGAAACGGTTTTGACCTTCTCTTTGAAGGTCGTCTTCACACGTTCGTGTGCAAAAGTTTTCCAATGCCAGTTTTGCTACAAAAAAAAAGTTAGTAATTATTGTAAAAAAATAAATATAAAACAATTCGTAATTTTAAATAACTTACCGCGAAACACTTGAACCAAGTGTCAATAGTTGCCTGATCCAGCTTCTTCCAGCTGGTATGGAGTTTCTTCATACTAGCATGACCCGGTTGCCGTAGAAGATTCTCACCCGTAAATTGGGCATACGGTTCAAGCTGTATCGGGGCTGGGGCTGGTGCTGCTGGTTCTGCTGGTAGTGGTGGCGGTGGAGGCGGTGCAGGCTGTGGGACAACGACCGGTTGCGAAACCGTATGTTGTGTTCCCAAGGACTCCGGGATGGCAGATCCCGTAGCTGAGGTGGACGGAGCGGTAGCGTCCGGATCAACCATATCCCGGTAGTGAAACCTCTTGGTCCGGGGGAGCCATCTGAATAATCTACAAAATTAAATTAAATATAATTACTAATTATATAATTTATTTCTAAATTCCGAGTTTATCTAATAATTCTCCTAATTATATCTATATACGTATTAAAATTATAAACAGGAATATAAATTAAAAATGAAAAAAAAAAAACTTACAAAGGGTGGAGAGGAGGGAGGGGAGGGAGAGCTAGAGAGAGAGAGTGTTTGTAGAGAGAGAGAGAGAGAAGTGAGGAATGAGCGACGAATGAGGAAAATTCGCGTCCTTTATATAGATTTTGTGATTGTCGTAAAATCGTCGTAATGTTACGATTATGTTACGACGATTTGGTTATAAAACCAATGTACCAGTGCATGACACGACACGTGGCTTGCTCAAAGCGTTTGAGCATTACGACGATTTTACGACAATTGTTCATCATACTGTCGTAAAACCGTCGTAATACGTAGAGTTTATATCCTCGTACCTCAGATCTGGAGCCAATCCAGTGGCTGTTAGAGGTATGATCGTCATCAACATTACGACGATTTTACGACATTTTAATGAATAGACGTCGTAAAACCGTCGTAATATTAGACGATTTTCTGATTATTTTACGA